CCATTTGAGAGATAGGTGGCGGTAATGCACTTATAAGTCTGCGATCCGCTGTAAAAAAAAGAAGAAGAAGAAGACTCGTCAGGCGCCTGCTGCTGAGAACGCGCTCAGGACAGTTCGGACATTGCGTGAATCAGAGGTAAAAAACGATATAAATACTGTTCAGTTTCTTGCACAAACCGATCGTTTCGTGTCATTACACATAAATGTATCGTCACGAGCCGCAGGGTTTAATTTGGGTTTGTTTGTGTATGTTTTTTTATTCTCAAAGCCGTGATTCCCATTCACTTCCATTATGAGACTGACAGACTGCAACGGTTTGAGTTAAAAATCTTTGTTTGTGTTCTACTGAAGAAACAAAGTCACCTACATCTTGGATGCCCTGGGGGTAAGCAGATAAACATCAAATTATAATTTTTGGGTAAACTATCCCTTTAACTGTACATTTTACCTATATACAAATTATATAACAAATATTTTAAGTTATTCTATCTATCTATCTATCTATCTGTCCGTCCGTCCGTCCGTCCGTCCGTCCGTCATGTGTTCAAATATACAAATATTTAATAATCTCAACTAAAGCAAATGATTGTGAATAGCAAGTTGATTGAGGGATGAACTGTGGTGATATTCAGCGTTAGGAAAGAGCTTTTATCTCATTGTTAACTCCGGCCATGAACAGAGAAACGTCAGCGTTATTGAATGCAGCTCGGCTTTCTTCATTAGTCAGCAGGGAACATTAATACTTCATTTAAAATCTACACATAAAATAAATGATGCTCAGTAAGGCCTTCAGATGTAAAGAACACTCAAGAGATCAAAACCCAGTCAGGCCTCTTTTATTCTTTCAGATTGCAGTCATATCAAAGATCATGGTCATCACTGACCTCATACTGAATTATGGATGCTCGTTCAGTGTTTTACGTTTCAGTGCTTTCACTCTTGTTTGGTTTTAGTTGAGTCTGAAGTGTGTCTTTTATCTCACATGCATCTGCTGATAGCGTTTACAGTGCTCTGAAATGTTTTGATGCCAAAAACCGTGATCACAGTAAGGAAATGCTACACGCTGTCAACTGTAAAGTCATTTTGTCTGTCTTCGTCTTGAAATGTTCACTCTCTCTTGTTGTTGTTCACAGTGCATGACGCTAAAGTGCCGGGTCGTCCCAGCGTTCCTCAGGAAAACTCCTCTCCCAGTCATTATTCTGTCAAGCTGCAGCCGGAGCAGCCTGTCATCACACGCGTGAGCATTTCCTCCCACCTCCTAATTTTTGCATCTGATTGGATGATCGAACAGAACTCTGGGTGTCAGTCTTAAATGATGAAACATATTAGGGCTCTAAATCAGGATTTAGGTCATGACACTGCTTTTTAAAAGTGTATTTGCTTGCTAGAATATCAGTAGTTTCAAGTCAGGGCACATGCACCGGGGCCCGTATTTGGTTTTGATGTGCTTACAAATAATATAAGATAAATCACATCCAAATTGATTACAGACATGAGCTTAAGATATCAGTACAATTTAAAGCGAAGAGAAAAAGTTTTTCAAAAATCCCACACGCTACCGTAGCTTGTAACCTTTGTCAAGCATTTCATAATTTCACAATGCTTGATGAAGATCAAATGACTGACACGTTAATAGTAATATATTGGATAATAAATATGAATTATATTGTGTTTGCAAGCTACAGTAGTGTGCAGTAGGTACTACTAGGTATATATTAATATAAAATAAAAAATAAGGGAGATTCACAGGAAATTCGAGATTTGATCATTTAACATATATAGAGATATTTTAATATATATTTAAATCTTGAATTTCTTGATCATTTTTGTTTATTTGAAAATCTAAAACAAAATGTTCAGTAGAATAAACCTACGTAAGGCTTACCTATAGTTGTGTATTAAGTTTAATAATAAGATATGCTGAGAAAAAGTGTTTTGAAAAAAAAAAAGTAATCTTCAAGAAATAATATAAAGATATTTTCATTAACATTAGTATTATTGATGGCATGTTTCATAGATGATATTTCAGAAATGTTGAGCTTTAATTATAACTCATTATATTCTGCTATGTTAGCTTTTAAAAACTAGTCGGTTCCTTTTATATAAAAAGCATTCAGAAGCTCTTTTTCCATTTATTGACTGATCATCAAGAGCCTGCTGCTTCCTTGACATCAGTGAAAGGCATACATAATTGAAAAATATTTTCATCTTCATGCTTTATAGGTCTCCTCAGACAGTTGTTTTTCTCATTCAGGTTGCATCTGTGGAGCGGCTGGTGGAGCGCTTGGAGGTCGATTACTCCGACGACCCCTGGAGGATCACAGAGGAGCAGCGTGAATACTATACCAACCAGTTCCGGAGTCTCCAGCCTGACCTCAGCGCTCTCATCATGGGTAAGAGAGATCTGCACCACAAACACATCTGAGATCATCTCATGCTGTTCGATTTATGACTTTATGTGGACACGTTTGAAGTTTGCTTTGGTTTTTCTTTCAGGAACTGTTGCAAAAAACTTCTTTACCAAGTCGAAGCTTCCGATTCCAGAGCTGTCTCATATATGGTGAACATAAAACCTAAGTTCCTCTTAAACATGCAGTGAACCGTCTCTTTGCATTCAAACAATCTTGTTTGATCTTCTTCAGGGAGCTGAGCGATGTCGACAAGGACGGTGCTCTCACTTTCCCGGAGTTCTGCACTGCCTTCCATCTGATTGTGGCCCGGAAAAATGGTTACCCTCTTCCTGAAACGCTCCCTGCCACGCTGAGACCGGGCTTTGTGGAAGCAGGTGTGGTTACAGCGCCACCATCTGAGGTATGAGATCTAAAACTCACAAAATGCCTACAGTATTTGCACCTGAAGTATTTAATGATGTCTAGGTTAAAACTGTCCAGTAGTTCTTATTCAGGATCATGTTTTGCAATTTTGAAAAAGTTCAGATTGACAATTTTGAACTGAGCTCCAAATGCAATTGTTTTAGAGGCAACTCTACCTCTTATTGTCTTTGATGAAAATATGATGCCTGGAGCCAATCAGCTCGTAAGAAGAGCTTCATTTTACATTTATGCCAAGATCACAATGTTCCGTACATTTCGTTATGTCCTTGTCTTATCTCTCCTCCTCTCTCTCTTTTGATTGGCATGATGATAATCTGCACACAGTATTGCAAAGCATCAAAACAAATACACAAATACAAAACAAACATGTATGTATGTGTGTGTGTGTGTGTATATATATATATATATATATATATATATATATATATATATATATAGTCATCACTTTTTGTTTCATTTATTGCAGTGTTATTTTAGTATTATTTAAAATTATTTTGAATATTGTATTTATTTTTTATAATTTTTTTATTTTCAGTTTACTTTTATATTGTAGTTTAAGTTTTAGTTTCAAGTTTTTTTATATATTTCTATTTAGATGTATATTTTTATCATTTTAGTAGTTCAACATTTTATTTGTTACAGTAGTTGCCAATGACTTTTCAATTTTTTTTTTAAATTTAAGTTAATTTAATATTTATATGTTATTTAATTTCAGCTGTCAATTAACAAAAAAAAACATTAACTTTTAACATCTTTTAACAATTAACATTTTTAATGGTTGTTTTAGTTAACAATAACATCACTGGTTTATTGTGTTTTTATTAATTCATTTAGCTGTTGCTAAATCATTGATAGTCCCTGTATGGTTGTAAAAATTTATCAATTTTGTACATTTGCCTACATATAGAAAAAATTGTAAACAAGAATAGTACAAAACAACATGCATAAATTTATATATATATATATACTGTACTTATTAATATATATATTTACACACACACAGTAAAGAAAGATACACATATTTATATAACTCTCTCTCTTTCTCTGAGCATGTTTATTTGGCTAAAGGTAGAGGGTGCTAATGTGTTTCATTTGAGATATCAATAAGCCAACAATCCAACTAGTCCAGCCCTTATATCTGAGTAAACATCTAAATATCCTCATATCAGTAATTTTATGCTTGCTTTTAATTTTTCCAAATAGAAAATGGGTTCTGTTGACCTGCAGGGGACCTCTAGACCAGGTGTGACTGCTAAACAGGAAGCGAGAGATGAAAGCAGGAAACCGGGTATGACTTCAGAGCCAGACGTCAATTAGCATAAACATGATTAAAGGAAAAAATATATCTAATGTTTTTTATACGGTGGCCCAAAAAGTATTTGGATACTTAAAATTGTCTAAATAATGTCTAAATGCATTTGTGCTTTAAAATAAACTGCACTTGCTTTGATATTTTATAATTTAATGCAATGAAAGAGAGAGAATGATAGATATAAAAATTTAGAAAGTGATTTTTTTAAGTGAGTGCATTTGTGCTTTAAAATAAATGGCACTTGCTTTGATATTTTATAATTTAATGCAATGATAGATTTTTATTTTTCAGTTTTTTTAGTGTCTTAAGTGTGCAGATATTTTTGGGGCCACTCTTCCACACTTAAGAGGGAAAACCTGTAAACTTACTGAAATTCTCATGTAGATGATCTATTTCACTGCTCTTATTGTGTGTTTTTATTGCTGTGTCAGCAGAATTCAGCCCAAAGAGAATTCCAGAGCCACATGAAAAGACAATACAGCATGTCAGCACTTTAAAACCAGGTGAGTCACTGTCCTCAGGCGCAGCGGGCCACGCACACGCCCCTGACCCACACCGAATCGACCAAAGCCTCTAATTTACCTGTGCTTTACCGTCTGTGTTCAGGCAATGATGAAAATTCTGTGGTCTTTTACTCACCCTCATTTTGTTCAACCTGTATGACTTTTCTTCTGTGAAACACAAAGGGAGATGTTTAGCAGAATGTCCCAGGTCCTCTTTTCAATATAATGCAAGCAAATGGATGCTGTCTAGCTCAAGAAAAGAATGCATAGAAGCTACATAAAGGTAGCATATGACATACTCACTAGATTCCAGGTCTTCTCATGCCATCAGGTAGTTTTATGTCAAAAAAAATGTGTTGTTTGTTGAAAAAAAGCATAAGATCACATATTTTCAAATTTAACACATGAAGATAGGCTGCACCAGGTTTGAAATCAGTGACAAATTCCACTTGCTTTGGTGTTTTATTATCCAGTGCAGTGACATTTAGATCTGTCTTAAGTTTCTTCAATGTCTCCGGTGCACAGATATTTCGGGGGCCACTCTTCCATACTTCCAAATGCAATGTGAACTTACTGTTATTGTTATTTCACTGCTCTTATTGTGCTATTTTATTTCTCACAGCAGAATTCAGCCTGACAGAATTCTAGACCTGCAGGAAAAGCCAATACAACCATATAAACAAACAAATGTGACCCTGGAGCACAAAAGCAGTCTTAAGTCGCTGGGGTATATTTGTAGCAATAGCCAAAAATAAATTTTATGGGTCAAAATTATAGATTTTTTTTATGCCAAAAATCATTAGGATATTAAGTAAAGATCATGTTCCATGAAGATATTTTGTAAATTTCCTACTGTTAATATATTAAAACTTAATTTTTGATTAGTAATTTGCATTACTAAGAACTTCATTTGGACAACTTTAAAGGTGATTTTCTCAGTATTTAGATTTTTTTTTTGCTCCCTCAGATTCCAGATTTTCAAATAGTTGTATCTCGACCAAATATTGTCCTATCCTAACAAACCATACATCAATGGAAAGCTTAATTATTCAGCTTTCAGATGATGTATAAATCTCAATTTTGAAAAATTGACCCTTATGACTGGTTTTGTGGTCCAGGGTCACAAATAAATAAGACCGATTTAGTGTTATTTTAGTATTATGTATATATTATTTAGTATTTAGTTTTCTTTTTAATTTTAGTTTGTTTTAGTTTTAAGTTGGTTTTATATTTCTATTGAGCTTTAATTTATTTTACGTACGTTTTAATTTGAATAATTTTAGTACTTCAACTTGTTGCCTCCTTAAAGGAATATTGTGGTCCAGGGTCACAAATAAATAAGACCGATTTAGTGTTATTTTAGTATTATGTATATATTATTTAGTATTTAGTTTTCTTTTTAATTTTAGTTTGTTTTAGTTTTAAGTAGTTTTTATATTTCTATTGAGCTATTTATTTTACGTACGTTTTAATTTTAATAATTTTAGTACTTCAACTTGTTGCCTCCTTAAAGGAATGTTTTTAAAATATTTAAAATTTTAATTTTCTGAAAATGTACTCACCCTCAGTCCATGAAAGATGTAGATGAGTTTGTTTCTTCATGGGAACAGATTTGGAGAAATGTAGCATTCCATCACTTGCTCACCAGTGGATCGATCCTCTGCAGTGAATGGGTGCCGTCAGAATGAGAGTCCAAACAGCTGATAAAAACATCACAATAATCCACAAGCAATCCACACCACTCCAGTCCATCGATTAATGTCTTGTGAAGTGAAAAGCTGCGTGTTTGTAAGGAACAAATCCATCATTAAGGCGGTTTAACTTTAAACCATCGCAAAATATGAGTCCATGTTCCATAATAATGCTTCCTCCAGTCAATAAAATCAATACCGTCCAAACAATACCATCTGAAACAAGACAGCTGAATAGCTTGTTATATTCCTTATTTATAAGTCTGCTAAATGAATGAATGCAAATTTGAGAACTACAGAGGGAAATTTTGGTCTGTTTCTCCGCCTGACATATGACTTCAGAAGGCTTGTAACAAAGTTTATTAGTCATATGAGCTACTTTTTGGGTGCTTTTTTGAGCTCAAGAGTGCTTGTTCCCATTTATTCCCAATGTATGGAAAAGGGCAGCATGAACAATCTGCAAAACATCTACTTTTGTGTCCCACAGAAGAAAGTCAATTGTGTTTGCCGCAACACAAATAAATAATGACAATTTTCTTCTCTCAGGCTGAATTATCCCTTTAAGAGACCTATGGTCAGATGGTTCATGATTAAAAACAGACCAATCATTACTCTCTCTTGGCAAATCAGCTCTTGTGGTCTTTAGATCAGGTTGAAGTCATATTTAGCGAGTATATCACTCTAGCAGAGGCCTGTTTGTTATTTTCTCTCATGATGGGTGTGATGTTTTGAAGTAAAACCCCTCAGCGCCTCTGGGTGTGGACACAAAGCCCGTTATATCCACAGCACTGACCTTTTGTTCTAATATTTCATGCAGTCTACTCTGATCCAATAACAGCTCATATTTATTAAAGTGCCCAGATCCCTGGGCGTTCACAAATAATCCTGCACTTTATTACTTCAGTTTGAATGCAATGCTGCTTCCAATATGGTTCTTATGAAATCCCTTTTCCCCCAGTGTTGGTAGAAAAGAGAATCAAAGTTGATATTGAGTCTTCGTCAATGCCCCAGTGCATGATGGGATAGGAGACAAAGGCCCGTTTGAGGTGTTAACTGCAGTTGTAGGTGTTCAATGCTATTTTTTGGATAGTATCGATGCTATCGAGTGTGTTTGATGTTTTAGTGTTACGATTCAGTGTTTCTGCTGAGAAGTCAAATCTTTTGGCTAGAGAGAGCAGTTCAGTTTAGGACCGGCTTAAAACTTCTCTAGATGACAGGTAATAAAAGAAGAATTTGTTTAATTTGGTAAAAAGTGAAGTCTGATGCTTTTGTTTGGCTTTTAGATGAAATTAGTAATGTTTCTCTTTAGGATTTGGTCAGTTTTATTGCAGAAAGAATACTTTTACTGTGTAACTGAGTACTTAACATACAAATGTTTTACAGATTCGCCACAAGAACTTGATGCAAACATGAAGTCAAGAACACGGCCCAGGTAAAATCTTTTTAAACTCTCACTACTGCTACATTACCATTCAAAGTTTTTTTTATTTTTTTATTTTAAAGAAATTAATACATTTATTTAGCAAAGACATAATAAATTGATCACGTTTGCCAGTAAAGACGCTTACAGGGTTACAAAAGATTTCCATTTCAAATAAATGATTTTTTTTTTACTTTCTATTCATCAAAGAATCCTGAAAAGAATGTATCATGGTTTCCATAAAAATAGCTGAGAACTGTTTTCAACATTGATAATAATAATACATTCAATTAAATTAAATTCAATTCAAGTTTATTTGTACAGCGCTTTTCACGATACAAATCATTGTAAAGCAACTTTACAACAAATTAATTTTCTACAATATTTAGTGGTAGCTTATCAGTGGTGACTGTCAGTCAATGTACATATGGCATAAATGTACGGAAAAATCAATTAAAGACGTAATCAAACAGACGATGAACACTATTAACAGCAATTATTATACGATGCAATCAAACTTATAGCAAAATGTGGTAGTTCTGTATGTTGTTTCCGGGTTGGCATCATCTGAGGTCCTATGAGGGGTTGGCATCATCTCTTCTCAGGCGTTCTGGATCCAGACTGAAGCTTGTGTAAATCCTAGTTACCACGGATGTCAATGTATTTGTTTAACCCAAACTAAAGAATAATAATGTGCATTTGATCAGATATAA